TATGTGTGTGTACTGTATATATTTATTATGTATATATAAATAACATTGTAAAATATTTGGTATTATTATAAATAATATATTTTAGATTATAATAAATAAAAAAAAACTGCATATAGGTGACATAAATGGCATCATCAATAATCAACAAAAAAGTCTCTTTGCTTTGGACTTTATATGCAAGAAAAGCAATCCTCAGATAGCTCAGACGAGTCATTCAGCGTTTCATAAACACACATCAGCCAGAAATAGGCTCCTCGGAGGAAAGTGTGATTTGGAGTTCATCATAAAGAAAAAATTAACAACAAACAAAAGCAATCATAAATAACAATTCCAATAAACACAAAATATATATAAATAACATTGTAAAAATATTTTGTATTATTGTAAATAATATATTTTATATTATAATCAATCAATCAATAAATAAATGTATGTATGCAGTTTATATTATTATAAACAAGAAAAAAACTACATACAGGTGACATAAATGGCCTCATCAATAATTAACCAAACAGCATATTTAATTAAAAGGGTTTACTTTGCTTTGCTCTTTATTTACAAGAAAGATATCTTTAGTCCATCAGTCTGATTTGCAGGAAATTCACACGCTCTTTAAATAGCGCCGGTTTCAGTTCGCATTAATCACAGCCTGCCTCTGTTCTTTCCCCAGACCATCGTGCGCGGCAGCATGATCGGCCACGGAGACTATATATCAGCCGTGCTGTCAGACATGAGCCGTCTGTCCGTCACCAGCTCCAACTCCCTGCGCAAGAGCAGCCCATCGGCCCGCAAGAGAGCGCAGTCGCTCGCCCGCCTCGGGGAGGTCAGCGAGGCCGATGTGTATCAGTACGAAGCCCTGGACGAGCCTGACCCTCACTGGGCCGATAAATCACGCAACATCCACAGCGAGAGCGGCAGGCCGTGCATGGGTCTGAAGAAGAGCGTGATGCTGCAGCCCAACGGCGTTCTGCCCCGCGCCAAATCCACCTATGAGGTCAGCATGAGCTTTCCTCCTCCGGCCCTCCCGGCCCCTCCGCCGCCCCCCATCCCTGTCCCGGAGCCACCCAGGTCTGTGTATCTGTGTGGGGACATCGGGAGCCCGACGGAGAGGCTCATGATGAGACGGGAGTTTCCCATCGTGTTCTCACACAACCAGAGACCCATCACCTGCTTCTACAGCCCCAGCATGCCACACGGAGACGCTCTCACGCCGGACACGAGGAGCGCCAACAGACTGCTGGTCCACCCGCAGAACAGCCCGGGGAGACCGTACTCCTCATACGACCTGAAGGTAAACGAACGTCTGACGTCTGTGGCCAACAGCCTCAATGATGGGAGCTTGTTCTGACACGCGATAAAAATACATACTGTTAATCTTACAATTCTGACTTTTTTTCATGCAATTGACTGACTTTTTCCTCTGAATTCTGAGGTTAATTCTGATTGTAATTCTGATTTTATATATTGCAATTCTGACTTTTTTTTTTTTCAAATTTTGAGTTTACATTTCGCAATTTAGATTTTTTTTTCTTGTAATTCTGATTTGATATCTTTTAATTCACTTTTTTTCTCTGAATGACGAGTTAGTTTCTCACAGTTGAGACTTTTCTTCATGAAATTGCGAGTTTACATCTTGCAATACTGACTTTTTTTCCTCAGAATTCTGTTTACGTCACATTTTTTACCTTTTTCTCAAACTTCTGACTTTTTCCTCTGAATTCTGAATTATCTCTCAATTCAGATTTTTTTGCAATCCTGACTTTTTTTTTTTTTTTATGTTTACAGTTCACAGTTTTGATTTTTTTTCTCAGAATTCTAAGTTAACATCTCACAATTCCGTGTTTTGTTCTGAATTTTTAGACACCTGACCAACATGCACAAGCAGAATTCTGAGAAAAAAAACTCAACTGTGAGATAGAAACTCTCAAATGCAAGAAAAAAAAAATCCAAATTGTTTTAAAAAGATTTTTTTCTCTGTTTTGTAAAAATAAATTATAAAAAAAATACACCTTAACAAATCATGAACTTATTGAACTTAAGCATTTTTTAACTAATTTTATGAGTTTTTTCTGACATCAGAAATTTTGTTTTTGCAGTTCACTTTCCTTTTTTATTAAAATGAAAACAGACAATTGCAAGAAAACCACCACAACATATACATTTATATAAATATGCATCTTAGATAACTTACCATGCAAAATCTTTCTTCTAAAAATAAGCAATTTCTTAAAAAAAATAAATAAATAAATAAATCGAAAAGAAAAGAAAAGTAACAAAATAAAGTTCACTTTAAAGTGCAAAGGCACAGTAAGATTTGTTTGAAAGAAATTAATACTTTATTCAGCAAAGATGCATTAAATTGATCAAAAGCGACACTAAAGACAATTATAATGTTACAAAAGATTTCTATTGCAAATAAATGCTGTTCTTTTGAACTTTTTATTCATCAGCTGTTTGAAATTGTAATAATATTTCACTGTTTTTACTGTATTACTGTATTTTTTTCAGCCTTGATGAGCAGAAGAGACTCCTTTTAAAAACATTAGAACTTCTGAACAGTATTGTATACTATTAAAATATCTTGAATACTCTTTAAGTTTGTCAGACGAATACATTTACATTTAGACATTTAGCAGATGCTTTTATCCAAAGCGACTTACAAATGAGGACAATAGAAGCAATCAAAACCAACAAAAGAGCAATGATATACAAGTGCTATAACAAGTCTCAGTTAGCTTAACACAGTACACGCAGCAAGGGTTTTTTAAATAATATAATAAATAAAAAGAAAACAGATAGAATACAAAAAGATTAGAAAGCTAGTGTTTTTTATTTATTTGTTTATTTTTTATAAAGAAAACAAGCAGCAAATGAATAGAGTGCAAGTCTAAAAGGGACAAGTGTTTATTTATTTTTTTATACATGTTAATAAACAAAGCAAATTAATGCAGGTTAAAGGAAAACGTCTCAGTTTACGCATGAGAATAGGGAACGAGACGCTGCGTCCTCTAGGGGGCGCTAGGGGAACGCCTTCAGTGCCCTCTAGAGGACGCAGCGTGGCGTTCCCTTTCGAGAGGGAACCAGCCCACGTCCTTATTTCTGTTTGTCCTTGTGTTTCTCTTCTCAATGAAACAGGCCGACGCAGCCATGAGACACCAGCCGGGATATTTGCACAGCGGCACCAGCAGTCCCCTCGTGAGCGGCACCAGGCCTCACAGAACGGTGCGTTCCTCCTCCAGCTACACCATCGGCCTCTCGCCCAACATCAGTTACCGGCCCACCGGGCCAGACCCCTTTATGAGACACTCCGGCTGCCCCAACCCGGGTCTCTACCCCAGACAGGACAGCCCGTCGCAGCCCCGACCGTCTCCCACTGGATCTCTGGCCAACAGCCCTCCGGGAACCTGCTCGCCTGCATTCAGACCCCCGCAGCACCCCTCGCCCCGACCCCCGCCCGACCCGCCCAAAGTCACCCACGAGCAGTTCAAGGCCGCGCTGCAGATGGTGGTGGATAAAGGAGACCCGCGGTCATATCTGGAGAACTTCATGAAGATCGGCGAGGGTTCGACGGGTGTGGTGTGCATCGCCCGTGAGAAACACAGCGGACGGCTGGTGGCCGTCAAGATGATGGACCTCAGGAGACAACAGCGCAGAGAACTGCTCTTCAATGAGGTGAAGAACGAACAAGCATAATATCAATAAAAACAACCTCAACACTGCTTTTATTCAAAGGAATAGTTCACCCAAAATTGTAAACGTGCTCATCCTCAGGTCATCCAAGATTAGGATGAGTTTGTTTCTTCATCAGATTTGGAGAAATGTAGCATTGTGTCACTTGCTCAGCAATCTATGTGAAAAGATACAGTTGCCAAAAATAAAATTGGCCATTTAAATGCACGTATTTGTTGATCTGAATATGCAAGTCCCATCATGCATTTTTTTCTCATTGAGGGTCTTGTTGCATCACGTTACATAAGCGAAAAGTGTTTCAAATGACATTGACCCCAGAACATTCAATCACAAAATGTTTTGACTGAAAAAACATGTTTTGAAAGGGAAATTCTAAACGTTTCAATCACAGTGTATGATTTAATGCAAGGCACAGAAACTAGCAGATACTATCAGAAGTTGTTTAGTCATATTCAAATAAATAGATGAAACATATATAAATATAAGTTATATTTTGGAACACTGTAAACACGATTAACATTATGTCTAAAATAAAATAAAATAAAATAAAATAAAATAAAATAAAATAAATAAAATAATAAAATAATAAAATAAAATAAAATAAAATAAAATAAAATAAAATAAAATAAAATAAAATAAAATAAAATAAAATAAA